TTTCTTCCTCCTTTCAGAAGGCTACAACTCTCAATTAATTGATATAATGACATTAAATATATAATAATTAATTAAAATAATGGAGGAAAAGGGATTAGTGCCATTCTCAGATTGGTTAATGACCTATTGCTTTTGCCATTAATGTGTTAGTTCATTTGACAAATAATGCAAATCCGATTTTTTATTTTTTATTTTTTTTACTTTCTAAGATTTCATATTTCAATTTAATCCCTCTCTCTCTCTAAGAATTTAGTCCTTGGCTCTTAAATTCAAAGTTCTAGTGGCAAAGTGCCTAATTTTCCTTCTTTTCCCCTTCTAGATGTATATTAATTTATTGTGTTAGGCTTTGATTTTTAGCATTACCTGACAAAAATAATTATGATTATATATTTTTTTTTCTTTAACTCAAATTTCCAATGATTCACTTGGTTTGCAATTTATTAATAAGCTGATTTGGAAGGATCATTGGGGTGGGTTCAATTATGATCTGACTAATTTGTTTGCTGGTTATAAATCATTAATTTATTAGCTCTGATTATTTGCTCTTGAAAATCTAATTTGATTTTTGTTTCTTTTTTCTTTTAGATAGAATATAATTGGGGTTAGTTTGATAGGTATATATATTGTCTTTTATTTAATTAAATTGCATTATTGATTTGATCGGAAGTTAATTTAATTTCGATTTGTTTTTCATAGAATCTTCATTTCAATTTAGATTCGATTCAAATTGCTAATATTTGGATTCATTTCATTAAATAAAAAAAATTTGTACAACTCATCAGCTTTTGTCTAGACGCTACGCTTTTAAGAGTTGACTGATGCCTACCATTGACCTAATTGCTTGGCTTAAGCTGTAAACGTGATCCTCTTGCTATAAACTACTCTTTTTTTTTACTTCTTTTAAATACAAGTATTAAAATATATATATACACAAATATTTACTCGAGAATTAAACGTTGGATTAAAATTGTGTTATAATCTATAAAAGTACTTGTAGAGTGATATTATAGTTAGGAGTGTCATCGAGGCAAGGCAGGGACGAAGATGGCTTTCCCGTCCCCAACCAGCCATTGAAAGGTGACTGAAACACTAGAAACGGCGACTACCCGAGCTAATGATAGAGGCAAGAACACTTTCCGGCCAGGCCTTACTATAACCAACCTATCTCACTCAATCTTTTACACCGATGTATCATACATACTCTCTCGACTAGGTCATCATAAGAAAATACTGCTAAATCTTTCCGAAGTGAGAGAAGGAGGGAAGGCGCGCTACAACTAAAGAACAGCCAGCTGAAAAACGCTAGCTAGCTAGGCTAGCGCGCAATGGCTTTCTCTACGTTGGGCTCGCTTCTTCAAGTCGGAGCCCAACCTATACAAGACAAGGTGCTGCTCGCTTGTCATTTCATTTTCCATCCCAACAAAATTTCCTAGAAAAGTTTGAGGATTGAGTTCTGCAGAGATCTATTCCTTTTTTTTTTATTTAGAAAATTTTCTATTAAATATTAATTCTCCCGGGGAATCACCGCAAGGAATTTCCATTCTTAAATTTTCTAAGATTCATAATTCATAAAATGATAAATTATAAAATTTAAATTTTACCATTCAAATTATGAATACAAATAAGTTCTAAAGGGTAAACATCACAACAACAATATCTCTTGTAAATTTTACATACAAATATTTAGATTTAAGATTTTTTTAAATATATATAAATAAACTAGATGAGACGTGGTGGAGAACATATTTCCTATGCTCACAGGGAAAATTTTCGGACACTTACTCGCTGGGCGATTAAATAGAAATTTTCTATTAAGTCCTGCGGAAAAAAATTATAATTATAGTGACTTTTTTTCCTTAGGACCGAAATTATAATGACTTTTTTTTCTTAATACAGCATGTGGAGTGGGAGATTGAACTCACAATCTCATAGTTGGAAAAATATGTCAATTGCCACTTAACTTAGCATGTGGAGTGGGAGATTGAACTCACAATCTCATAGTTGGAAAAATATGTCAATTGCCACTTAACTATGCTCGTTTTGATCGAAATTAATTATAGTGACTTGAGTGATTATAAAATTGTCTTGTATTTTGTTACAATCAAGCTTTCTATAGAAAAAGAGTATCTCAAGTCTTGGAAGAAGACTTCGTGCAGTACTGGAAAAAGATGAGTTTTTTTTAGCTGTAGCATGCATGTGTTATCCAACTCACGTCTATTTAAACTTGCTATAAAAACATTAATATTAATAGTGAAACACACATTAATTTATAGAAATATCTTGGTTTACTCGAGATATGTTCTTGTCAATTTGTAGCACTGAAGCGCAAAATTCAACCCATAATATTGGTTTCAAGAATTTGTTTTTCACACACTTGGAGCTTGTGTCAATTGAAATTCCATGTCACGTTTGTTTTCCCCCTTTTCTTTCATTCAGTTGGCTCAGTTGTTCTACTTCTTTAAGATATTTTCCCCCAAAATTCTAAAAGTTATTTTGAAACCTAGAAATTTAAGTGTATTGCACAATAGACAGGAAATTCAGAAGCTATAAATCTAGGACCTACAAGCTTCGATATACAATATATACTCTTCAGGTTCTTAAATTTCGCCAACATAAACATAACAGTTAAAGCATCTTGCTCTTTCTATAGAGATCGGAAGTTCAATTCTTCATCACTACATTTGTTATACTAAAAAAAATCCTTCAGATCAATAATTTCTCTACCTAGTCCTTCCTAGAGGTTGGTTAGCTATCTATGGCAGCATGTAGGAAGGTCCACCACCAATTTGTATTGAGTTCTTTTTTTCAAATAGCCAAAAAGAAAAGGAAGAAACAAAACCCCTACCACCCCACCATCCACCAGTACTACAAGGCTCCTCAAAATCCATGTTTGGGAAGAGGACAAAACCAATAAATTGGGTGATGGTTTATCAATCACCAAACTGCTAATTTGTTTGAGTTTTGGGGTACCATCATCACATGATTTAACTCAGCAGTGTCTTCCTTTTTCCTTTCTAAGGGGGTAGGGGCTCTGAATGCAATTGAGCAGTTATATGCAAATAAATCTGAGGCTATTGGCTACCATATTTTCCCCTCTCAGCATAAATGAACAAATTCAATTGCAGACAAATATATACTGTTTCCATACCTTACAATCTTCAGAGCAAAGCAATGAATATGATACGGGTCTCATCATTGCTCCAGAAGAATCAACTCGGTCCCTCTGATTCAACAAGATAAGATACAATCAGGCGGGTAGACACAACACAATCAGAAAGTTCTTCCATTTGCATCATGCATTCATTGCAGCATTCTATATTTTTACTTCAACTCTCTGGTTTACACAGCAAGCCATAAAGCTGTTCAAAACAAAACTCAAGTCCCCGTTCGATAACGTGTTCATTTTCAAGTTATCAAACGGGGTCTTAACACTATTCGCATCCCAATAATTTCAAGTTAGATTTAAAAAAAATAAAACTAGTTCGAGAATCACAAAAGCCAACTCGCAGAGCAGGAATCCTTGACATTATAAAAATATGCTCACTCACTCACCTTATGGGAAAATATAATTTATATTTTGAGCTTCAATAATGCAGACAGTTATATCAAGCAGTCACATGCATACTTTAGGAACTACCCGACAACCATATCCAAATAACTGACAAGACTGCATTGCCTAAATTATTGTTTAAGCCTACAGTCATCAACCGACAAGCGCATCCAAATAACTTGCAGGCTTGCCATTTTCTTCATAGTACTGATAGATGCCACAATACTACAAAAATGTCTTACCTCGAGAATTTTGGCGTAATTTCAGACTACTATTGCAGCCTAATAGGATTATCCCCCGTCTCTGATATGAATCCATACCTTGAATGCGAAGCAGTCGTTTGGTTGTCTGAAAAAATGTCATAGATAATGAAAGCAAGGCTACCAATGATGCTAGTGATAAATATGTGGTAAAGAAACATTCGGGTGCAAGTTAGACAGAAAGTTTTCAATATTACAGAGCATTAAAGCAACACAGTAGTTCGATAACCAATAACTTTACAAACTTTCAAGAGTCCTGCAAAGAAGGGACAGGAACTTATCCACAGGTCTGCAGACTTGCACTTAATAGTTTTTAAGTAGTTCAATTCACAAACTCAAACAACCGCTTAGACATCATCAAAGAAAAACATAATTAAAGGGAAAAAAAAAAAGAAAAGCCATAATGTAACAGAGGGAAATGCACACAAGAGAACCTATCCCATCCAAAACACCGCTTTCTTCGAACAACCTTCCAAAGCCACATTTGACATACGTTTAGATCTGTCTTGTTCCGACTTTTGGATGGATAGTATCAACCGTGGCATAGTGCTTAGCTAGTTCCTGTTCCGGCACTTCTCCACCGCCCTAGGAGCTGTAAAGAAAAAGGTAAACACCAATGAAAAAATTGCATTGTTGTAACACGTAATAGTCAAAATAAACCATTTTTTTGTATTTAAAATTCAAAACCAGAACAAAGGTTGGTATTGTAGTTTCATATTCCAACATTTTCATTATACATGGTTAACATCAGCCTAATGTAATTTGATATGCGGCACCTATTAATCAGTCCAGAGGGGATGCGTATTTGTATCCTATTAATAAGAGCAATGAGGAACAGAATGATACGAAAAAATTAATAATAAACCAGACAATATAAGATCGTTAAATCTAAATTACATGCTAGGCCGTATCAATGAACATTGGGAAATCTCCATTGGTCATCACATAAATTTCTTTGCTTCGATGGAAAGTATGCAGGAAATTATACATTTTCATATTTAATCCTATTATCCAGATGGAGGCGTGTGATGTGTCATATAGTAAATGCTGCCTGACTAAAGGTATTCAAAAATTTATAATGGATGCATCAAAATACTTACCCAGCCCAATTGCATCCGAGCTCTTCATAATCCTCAGCCTCTTACAAGAGTCGATGAACATCCTGGATAAGTAAATTCAGATATCAGATGCTACTACTAGAATTATGGAAATGGTAAATGCTCAATCAATATAGATAAAAATGTTCACAAAAATGTCCTCCGATTGCTTAAAAGGACTATGAAAAGGGAAGGATTGTAGGTTCTTTAATTACAGTCATAAGTTTACATAGAACATGCATGCAACATGTTTGCAAGACTTCACAGCATTTGATGACTTCGAACAAACTCTTAGAAAAAAAGGGAAAAAAACAGAACAGAGATAGAAATGGTCAAGTGAAGGAATGAAGATGAAAAATAAGAAGAGGCAGAAGCAGGGAAAAGAGAAAGAAGATGACAAAGAAAAACCAGTGTTATCTCAATATTTTATAATGAACATTAGCTCCCAATGTTTCTGTTCTAGCATTCGTACTGAATTACATCGACCCATCATCACTATGTCTAGACAGTAGCTTCTTGGGTTTCGCCAGATTTCTTTTGTATATTTCACACGCAATATATAGCCTAAACCAATACAAGTCATGCTTACACATAAGGACATGCAATAAAAAATAGAAAACAACAGATATGAACTGTATAACGTACTGCCAGGGGACATCACCAACGAGCATCCAGTCACCATCTTTATCCTCATATGTTAGAACATATTCTGAGCCATGAAGAAGATCTTTCAGCTTACTCTCACTCATTTTCTCCATGCCCAGAGCTCCATGAGCTCCATATTGACCTGCTCAATACTGAAACAACAGTAACTAGATCCATGCAAACTAGACAGGTAATTTGAAAATATCAGTTGTAAACTTAACAATATTATTTTCATCATGTTACAGGTTTTTGGATTAAATAGAAAGCTTCAAATAGCTCACCTATAGTAAAACAGCTGAACATCTTCTCAAGGGCAGAAGACAGCTCCTGGTATGCAGAGTAGTTCCTCAGATCTACCTTCCTCAGGTAAGGAGCACCATCCATGCTGACTTTGACAAAGAGTGCACCAGACATTGCCTTTCCATCAACTTCATCATTATTCTTTGAAGTTGTAGCCAATGAGTTCTTCCTGAAAGATCTTATGGGTGGCCAACCCACAACCTGTGCCCTGAAATGGAGCAGATAAGATACCAGTTCTTTGAGTTGAGGAAAAACTTGTAGCCAACCCCCCCTTCCTCCAACTTACTTGGTAACAGGTGCGCTGGTATTGTTATTTGCAGTCTCATTATGAGATGGCCTGGTTTCACTAGTTTCTTGAGGCCGCTCTTGTACAATTTTTTGTGTAGTTGCCTCTTTCACTTTCCCCATTTGATTTCCAAGGTTTTCTAGCAAAGAACCAGCTTTCAAACCTAGGTTAGCTTGATATTTTCCCTGCACCAGATTCAAATGGCTTTAGGGTTAAACTCTAGCCAAACATTAAATATACTCCAAGTCTTTCAGGAAAAACAGAGGCAATTTTCACCTCTGTGAACTCGTTCATAGCATCTGAAAAACCTCTTTTGTTGCCTGAGACAACAGCCTTATGTGGTGAAGAGTAGTGACCATCACTTGATGGGTGCAAAGGAAATAGTCGTTTTTCATCAAGATGAGAAGAGCTACGCAAGCTGATATCTGGATCTCTCTCGGGGGATTCAGATCCAGGGAGGCCTAGCCTCAATTCTGTAGCCTTAAGATTCAGCAAGGGTTTGTTCCCATCAGATTTGGTGGCAGTCATACAGCTGTCCTCTGAAGAAGAATCAGATAATCCCATGTAGTTACGCTCTTCAAAACTCAAATTGCTTTGACTGACACTCTCCATAGAGTTTGAAGAAGCCAACAGGGTGACATTGCTGCAACTTTCCTCACCCTCCCCAACACCAAGTGGTGGAGACATCAAAATTCCAGAAAGAAAAAGCTCTCGATCTTAATACCTGTCAGAAAACAGAACACTATGACTTCCAAATTCCAGTAGAAAGCCGGACTGCAGAGATTCTTCTGTTATGTCTTCCTTGTTAGTCATCCAGCTTACCGGACTATAAGACACTAAAAAGAAGGAAAACTAAAACCAAGGAAGAGAGGGAGGGGCTTTACAGGGGACTTAGAATTGGAACCTTTTATCCTCATTGGCCAAAAACTACCAAGAAATACTTCTCCAGAACGCGGCGTGAACTTGAAGTTCAGTGTGAACAAAAACATTTCAAAAATAGCTAGAAAATAACAGGCTACAGAGCACTGCGCTCGGTATGCTGAAACATATTGCAATTTCACACACAACAATGGACACTTATTTGGGAATCAAATCATACTAAAAACGGTTATACAACCTAAATTATCTGCATAACTGTTAAGAATTGGGGAGCCGCTACAAACGGCCACATAAAAAAACAAATAAATAAAATAAAACTCTACAAAGAAAAAAAGAAAAAGAACGATCTCGTAGCTTTTGCCCCGAAGTCAAGAATTACAAGAGACAAAGAATACGAATTATCCAAACCAAAATAAATAAACCTACGAACGGAAGGACCAAAAAATGGACCATGTGTGAAGTCGCTGGTATCTTGCAGGGATAAAAATAAAGCCGAACGCAATGCAAAGGTTTAAAAAAGTGAATAGAAATTCGTTTCATAAAAAATGAAAGAGTGAAATTCCTGACTCCTTGGTGCCTGTTCAGCACGTTGAAAAACGAAAGATAGACGTCACAGATCTTAAATTCTTTAATTCTTCAGATAGAACAAAAGGATAAAAAGTAAGTAGAAGAAGATTCAGTCTAGTAAGCAGCACATTAATCAAAGCAAAAGCTCACAAACTCATAAACTCATTACCTCCAGCTCCTCCAATTTTCTCAGCTCGCAAATTAGGATATTCATAAACTCTCCGAGCTCAAGAAACACAGAGACAGGAAAGGAAAAAAAAAAAAAAGCGAACAACACTAGCAGAGAAGGAAACGAGCGAAGAAGACAAGACGGAAGAGGAAATTTGCTTAGAAAACACAATCAGAGTGGAATCAGCCTATGAAGACCTCAAACAAAGATCAATCAGGCAAGAAACAGAAAGAACCCGCAAAATTAAACGTTTATACCTGAATAAATCTGCAGATCAGTAGGTTAAACAGAAGAAGTAGTAGCGATTGAAGTCTTTGATTCTCGGCAGTTGCAGGAGAGAAGCTGAAGGGTAGAGAGAGAGAAGGCAAGAGAGAGAGAGGCTAAGGACCCTCCATTTGGCACAAAGTAACAAAAGCCTTTTGGTGTCCGATGTGAAACTCAATGCATTATAAAAACCACTTTTAAATCACACAAAAAAAAAAGAAAAACAATTACTAAAATTTACACTCTCTGCAGAAACAAATACAAATTACAAAATCATTCTCCTTTTTTTTAATAATTATTTTTAAAATTCTGCCCTTTCATGCTTTTAACCAAACATATTATATTCTTCCCCCATTTTAATAATACTCTGTCCCGCCCAAGAATTTCCAGGGAAGCGACTTCCGACGGCTCAGATTCTCCGCCACTTTTAAACTGAAGCCGTTGATTTTTCTTCGCTTCAACCACTGCCCGTACATATCTGACGGTGCGTTTCGATCAATATTCTTACCTATACGACGTCGTTTCGAGCCGTGGCGTAAATATCATAATTGTCTTTTTTTTATACGGCAAGATATTAGTATCGAATCCCTAATTAGTGGGTGGAAAATTTTATACCTTTTTTAATTTTTTTCAGATTTCAAGTACTTTTTGTACCTTCCTATATGGCCCACATCTTATAAAACTAATTTATGTTCAAAATATAAAATATAAAGTTTAGATCATATTTTGGTATTTTATTTGGATTCTTAAAAATCTTCAAAAATTTTTACTTAGTTTTTAAATTTAGTATAGATAATTAATTTCTATCAAATTTTTTTTTCATAAATTATATCGCAAAATTCTAACACGTGCACATGTTTTTATTTGGTAAGATGTAACATTATAATGTATCAAAGTATCAAAGTAGTTGTATATTTATTTTTCAATTTTTTTCAATTCATGACAATAAATGACCAAAATGCTTTCTATATTAAATTTATAAATAAAAATTGAAGTTGGAAATTTGAGGAGTAGAAAATGAATCTAACCATTCGGGAGAAATCGATATGCTGCATTTAATCCTTGTCTCCCTCAAATGGGAATCGATGTAACAATAAGGCGAGGAAACCAATCATTTCATATAGTCATGTCGAAATTTGTAGAGATTGGGTTTTGATCTCTCGCATTAAGCTGATTTCTATTAAGGAGGGTCTTCGGCTTGCCTTGCATTTGGAGCTTTCTGCAATTGCGGTGTTGTCTGGTTGCCTTCAAGCCGTATCACTTCTAGAGGAGGGGGAGATGAATCGTTCCGAAAATGCTATCCTGATGCAAGAAATTCGAGATTTGGGGAAGAGTTTTCAAAGGGTGGAGTTTCATCACATTGATATAGATGGAAACATGTTGGCTACTAAATTGGTCAAGGAAGCCATCAGATTGAGAATTTTTATGTGGTGGGATCAGGTTTTTCCAGTGTGGTTAACTAAGTTAACGACGAATAATCAATCAAATTTTGTAACCCACGTGGCATTTAGTTCAGCTTGATAAATTCATCTTCTTAATCTAAAAATGTATAGACTAAAACAAAATAAATATAAAAATTGAAACAACAAAACAAGATATAAAATATAACAATGGTAGTAAATATTAGACTCTCGAACTTGATCAATTGATAAAATATTAATAAATGGGAAAAAAATATATTAGGTGATTTTGTTTTTACAAACATTTATCAAATTTTTAATGATTTAACAATGTAAATTGTACATATGTATTGTCTAGGAGAGTACAGGATTTGTACTAAATAAATCTAATATTGATTACTTAGATTAGGGGTTGCTTTTGAAATTAAATATGAAATACGAAATGTGAAGGAAACGGCGCCGTGTTATGTGGATCATGTTGCCACTGTTTAGGGAAAGGCAAAAGCGGCACTGTAGGAAGATGCCAAACAAATGGACAATACCAATCTTGCCCACAGTGGTAAACTTGTCATTTCAATACAAATCAATCAATCAGAAACTACGACATGTCCAAATCACAGCCCTCCATTGTCGTTTCTTCCTTCCAGATAAGCCCGGTAGTAAACCTGTCCCGAGCTCTCTCGACCGTCCGATTCCCTTCCCTTCCCTCTTCATTGAAGCATGAATCTTCATTTGGACTATTCTGCCCCTCCCCTTATTAGTTATTACAACAAAACCAGCCTCTTCAATGGAAAAAAATAAAAATAAAATAAAAAGGCTTAGCGTACAATCTTTCTTTAGTGAAACAAATAGGCCCTCTTTTATTCCCTCCTTTTCAATGCTTTGTATCATCTGACTCAATTACATGTTAATAGAGATCATTTTATGGTTTTTTAAAGGTAATTTTATGGTACAATTTCCTTTTGAATATTTTTTTTATAACATAATAAGTGGAGATGAAAATTTAAATTTATGATCTCTTGATCGAAATAGGTACCAATTATTGCAGACTTAAACTCACGGTGCTATAGTATAATAATAAATTATTAATGTCATAATTTATGAGATTTGAAGATTGTCAATTTTGAAGGGAGGATGTGATTATAGAGACAAAGAAAAACAAGCATTTTGGCTAAGCTCAAAAATGCGAAAAATTCAACCAACCCCACTTATGACTTTAATCTTATTATTCTTTTTGAATTAAAAAAAAAAAAAAGAATAGATCCTCTACTTGTCGTCCCCAGGGGACATAAGGAGCATCTTTCTTGGATTAAATTTGCATAATGCCCGAAATGCCCCTTTCCGAGGATTCCACCAATTCCAAGTTGACATGCACCGTGCATGACTTGGTAGAATGGATTCCACACCAGATACTTTTCACATGATGTGGGCCCTCCCGATCCGGGCCCACTTGTTCCCCTCCAAGGGTAAAAGTGGAAATTCCACTCGATGCCTCGGGGAAAAAGGAGAGACTCTCGGCTTTGGCACTCTCGGAAAATTTTAATTATTCCACCCACGCCAATACGCAAATTTGTAAATTACAACACAATTACAATAGCTACATCACCATCGAAATTTTAAACAAAAATAAAATTTATAGCACTGATATTTTCTTTCAGATTTCAAGAGTGTGATTAATATTTCACCCAATTACTATCATTATTATTTACCAAAATATGATACAAATATAATCTCACAGTTGTTAAAAGTGAAAAAATATATATTCATAACATTAATACAACAAAAACATTCATTTACTTACAAACTTGTCTTTAAAATGAATAATATCATTGGTTAAATTACAAATTTAGTTCACAAAAATTCAAAGTTAGATTTATTAGTTCTCTCCACTTTAAAAGTATCCTAATAGGTCTCTAAACTTTAAATTACGTGTCTAATGGACTAATTAGTCTCCAATGAGTCATTGAATTTTCACTCATGTATCCATTATGTTGTTGAATTTTCAATTTGATATATAATAGATTATTAACCTTTTCGACATTTTAAAAGTACTACTCTTAGACACGAAATTGAATTTTGTGTCTATTATGACCCTAAGCTTCCAATTCTATGCCTAACAAATCCATAAATTAAAAAATATATGTATATCGAAAAGGTCAAAAGTCTATTGGACACAAAATTAAAAGTACAAGTAACTATTAAACACTCTAAAAATCTAGGAATATACAAAATACAAATCTAACATAACAATATCATGTTATCGTAAAGATATGGAGAGACGTGTCGGAGGGTCGAGTAAGTGAGGGTAATTTAGTAATTTTAGAATAGGGAGGTGTAGATGTAGATAGAATGATATTGGATTGAAAACTTTGAGAGGGGGGAATTAATGATAAATGTAGGTAATGAAGAGAGAGAGTGGGGATAATAATAAAGAAATAGAAAGGAAGGAGAGAGAGAGAGAGTAGTGGGAAATTACGTAGAGAGCATAGGAAAATGAAGGGAGGGGACAGAGGAGAAGCAAAGGGAAAGCAATATGATGCATTTGGGGGACAAGAAAGCGGCTTTTAGTTTGGGTCTGCCGGCTTCACAACGCAGACACTTCAACTTCCCCCACGCGACCGCTTTTACGCATTTTACACCTCCCTTTACTTCCAAGCTATTTTATCTTTTTCTTTTCTAAATCACAAATATATAATCAAAATTCAAATCTATGATCCGGACTATTGGTATTAGGTTTTTTCAGTTAAGCTTAAAGCAAAATTGTGAAGTTTAGGTCTAAAATGGACAATAATACTAACATTATGAAAATATTTGAAGGTATCGTTGTTTTTAACCGTTATATTTATCAAAAGATAAAATAATGTATCCATAAATATTCAATTGTGTGTTTTTTAAGTTGATGTTGTTTTAACTTTGTGTGTTTAATACTACTACGAGGCACGTTCGGTGTATTATTTAATGATTATATGATGGGTTGATTTCAAGTAAGTTCGATAATTTGATAGTGTAAATGTTAAACTAATGATACAAAGTTGAAGGTCTGTGACCTCATTGTAATTTCTGAAACTATAATTAACTAAATAGATCGATCAACTCAACAAAAAATTATGCCCTCCTTCTCTACCTATCTAAAGGATGGATCCCATCAAATTATTTATAATACTCGTATTAACGCATTTTTTAATTTGCTAAACATGATGAATACAACTTTTGTTATTGTCAAAATCACTTATCCTTTCTATTAATCATGTTTGGTAAATTAAAAAAAATTTGATTTTGGAAAAGTTTTAATTCACTTGAAATTTATTTTGAAAGTATCACTTAGACGGTAATTTTGGAACATCAATTACACTTAAATCTATTTTTTCAAAATCACTCAATATTACCTAGTCAAAAGTGATTTTGACTTTAGTATAAGTAATTACAGCAATACTAAAATAATCTCTTAAAATGTTTAAAAAACACTTGCCTAAACCCAATAATTTCAAGTGTCCTGTTTTATTTATTTTTTTAATTATTTGTAAAGAAAATAATTTAGGTAACAACATTTTTTTTTCCAAATAGAAAATAAAATAACTTGGCAATCCTAATGCAAAAATAGAAGTGAATGGGATTGGAGAAATTGAAATTGGAATAATGGTGTGTTGGAATTGGAAAGGAAGTGTGGTGCACGCGCTGAAGGGAGAGGGTGGGGAAAGGTTTAGTGTGGATGGTATTTAATGGTGGATCATTAACTGCCACTGAGACTGTCTCTGCACGCTTTGCTCCCTTTTT